ATCTACACCAGTGTCCTAATCTGTCGTGGTAGGTCAGATGGTCCATACTCTTGATAGCGCCGGTGATCCCAACCCTCTGAAGCAAGCGATTCTGCAATTCTGTAGATGTGGAAAACCACATCTTTGTCAAAGGAGATGAGGTCTTTGATCTATCTAAAAGTGCCATGGATCTTCCATGGTCCTCCACCCCTGATGATGCAACGAATAGTCACGATCGAATCTGTTTCAACCAATATAGTTGATAACCTAATTTGTGCCTGAGTGATTGAGGAAAATGGGTCCTTTGTTGTTGTCCTACTCTATGGGTGTAAGAACATTTTATGCACTTATTCGAACTCCTATTTTTATATATTTATATATAAATTGAGTGATTATCTACTTAATTTATGTAAATTATGTTAATACATTTTATATGAAAAGATGCTATTTGGAGCTTAATTGGAATTGATTTGAGGTAATTGAACATTGCTCGGATTGTAAGAGATCAATTGGAAATAATAGTGGAACATTCAATAAAAATTCAAAAGTTTTGGGAGTTAAATTTGACATTTGAGAAGTTTGAGGACTAAATTACAAACTTCGAAACTTGTTTCATGTCAACTATTATGATTTTGGAATGAAGATGACTTAATTGCAAAATAATAGAAGATGAAAGACTAAAGTCATGTGAGAAAATGAGTCTAATTGAAAAATGAATTTGTTTCAATTTATTTCTTAAAATTTTTGATAGAAACCAATTTGAACTCTTTTGTGAAAATCAAGTTGAACAAGGATTTTGCTTAAATCCCGTTCTATAAATATATATCTTAATCCAATAATTGAAGGGGGTTTTTTGGATTTCATTAGACGCATACATGTCAACCTATGATTGATTATAACCTTAAAATTTTGATTATAAACAAGTTAATCTTGTTTGTTAACAATTGAATTTAAAGTAATTATAGTCTTCAAATTCTCCAATGAAAAATTGATCGATGATTGTCAAAAAATCAAAAGCTATTATCACAATCAGATTCATGAAGGAAGTCAAGATCGAAATCACATATTCAAAAATTTAATAGACAAACTTCGAAATAAGATCAATGATTAGATTTCTTTGAACAAGTGTAAAGGTACTAGTATTTTGATACTTAGCAATGAATGTTTAAGCTCAAAATCTTTTTATACGATAAAAATAATTTTGTGCCATAAAAGTTATTTTGATACAACGGAACTACCATTAATATCCCATACACGAGGTCAAAATTTGATCCTTGTACCACCATCGCAGAATCTCGCGGTAGCCATTGATTTTCACAACATCCCCTCCCACCTCCGACAATTATAGATAGAGAGAGAGAGATAAAAAAAAAAAAAAAAAAGAAGACCGTTGTTGCGGCCCTCACCTTTGGTAGCAGTGCACCACAACCATGCATGCATATTTACACCACTGCCACCACCCTACAACCCAACATCATGCCACCACAATCACCACTGCGAGATCAAATAGCGTTGACGAGGTTGACAGAGGGGATGTATGTACATGTGTGAATTATTTTGTGTTTGTATGTAAAAATATAGAATTTTGTGGAGAGAGAATGACTTTCTTTTTTAGAATATAGAGACATTGGTTGTATGAGAGAGAGAGAGAGAGAGAGAGAGAGAGAGAGAGAGAGAGAGAGAGAGAGACTTCCTTTTGAAAATATAAAAGGTATTTAGGCAAAAGATATTTACATGGGTGATTTGTTGGGATCCATGTGCACAAATGTATAAAATATATGGATAAATTCCCTTGAAATACCCTCTGGACGTTCAAGGAGTTGTGTGGCACCCCTCAATAGGGGGCGACATGGTGGTGTTCAAGAAGCAGCCCAAAATATATATATGAAAGTAGCATGGGTTGTGGTTCGTATGGAGTGAATATATGTTTTTAAATTATTAAAATCATTATAACATGATTTTTGGGGAGGAAAAAAAAAACTTTAACTTGATTTTTCAAGTTGAAATTTGAAATATAGGGTTGAAAGGTAATTTTCTTAGAAATAAACTATCGATATAAACTACTAAAAATTAGTTTTTCACCTTCGCATAATGTATCAGTTGGTAATCAGAAATGAATTATCAGTTGGTGAAAATATTAAACTTTTAACTACGAAAATCACCAATAGAATTTTCGTTTTTAAAAGTGATACTCTTCATCAATGGATATTTCGTGCTTAATGTTGTTGTTTAATACGCGTATCATTTATCAAAAGCATTTCCGTAGGTGATGTCATTTGGCTTTCTTTTTAAAAATGTGTCATACTTTCCCCTACGAATTTTTCATCGATGAAGAGTATTTCATTTTATTATTGGAATTGTCGTTGTTAATATTAATCAATTTTAATAATAAAAAATTCAAACATTCTACTACATAATATTTATACATGAACTGGTGAAGGGTAATTAATTTTTTTACCTTTTTTTGAAATTCATCCTTTTCACCGACGGAAATTTCATAGGTGAAATGGATGAATGTTTGAAAAAATTTCAACCTCTACATCAACGAAAATTCCATAGGCGAAATAAAGTAATTCTTATCCCACATCATAAACTCACAAACAAATTTTTTGAAGATACCCTCTATAAGTTAGTGGTTCAATAATTGGTTGGGTCTTTCAACTGAGTTGGCTAAAAGCTAAAAAATTTATAATTACTAAATAATAATAACAATAATAAATAAATAAATTTTATTTTGCCATTCCTCACACATATGCAGCTATATACAACATTGATTTTTACCAATTGTAATGGTAGACAAATACCAATGAAAAATCAGTTGGTAATGATTAAGATATTTACCAACAAAATTTTCATCGGTCAAAGGTTCACATAAAGGTTACGTTAGTAAAAATGTTCACTCTTTACTTATGGCACCATTCATTGTTAACTATCAGCAATCGTTAAATTAATAACAGATTTGTGGTTGCTAATATTTTATTAGTAAAAATTAATGAAGCCATTTCATTTTTAGTGATACTTGTACGATAAACTAAAAAATTAAAGCTAAAGAAATTTAGATAGATAAACTGTATTTACTATATACAAGTGTGCTATTTTATATAATAAATAAATTATATACTATTTTCCCTCCAATGGCTTATGAAAAATTAAACATATTAATAAGTCTTTGTTTAAGTCCTATTTTTTTTTTATCATACATTTTTCAACACGATTTGATACCATTTCAACCACTCAATTTTCAATAAAATAATATTACACGCAACTCTAAAATTTTTCATTATTTTTTAATCATACATTCTCCATCATATCACTATTTCAAAATACATTTTTCTAGAAATTCAAACAACCCCTAAATATACGACTGCAGTAATGGTAATTACTATTTCAAATCAACAATCTTCATAATTTATTGAATAATTATTTAAATTATAACTTAGTAAAATAACATAAATAAATACCACGAATGATCTAATAAGCACATGTGCACATCTTATGTCAAGCACCAGTGACGTGTCATATAAATTTATTGGTGAATTTTAAAAGTAATTTAAATATCGAGTTCCACCAGTATCCATCAATGAGTTTATTTAACACGTTATTGGTGAAATTCAAATGTAATTATATTTTTTAAATATGTTTAAAAATAGAAATAAAGTTAGAGTTTGTTTGATACAAATTTTAAGCCAATTAAAATCAATTTGTGATCGTTATTTCACTATTTCAGTCGTCATTTTTGAATTTTTCTCTCATATGTAGGATTCACTTTATTTTTAACGGTGAAAAAATCAATTATCAAAATCCCTATACTAAACAATCACTTATATTTATGCGGTGGGGTAGATTATAAGTCAACACACATCATGCACATGGTCCTATCTCCTTACCATAGACAGAGCCCACACGCTTTTTAATTTATTTTTAGTTATTTGTCGGAAAAAACCAGCGTAGCTTCGGACAAACAAGTCAGCAATGAATTTCTTATAAACCAAAAGAAATTGACACAATACCCCACATCGACCAGACAATTCAAACAAATATAAGAAAATAAATCCCCCCACGTACTCTCCAATGTTTTTAGTCACAATTTTTGGCAACTTGCCTTGTTTAATTTGGCCTCTTCATATTCTTTATAATTTAATATTCAATAGACAAACAATAGTATCAAACAAAATGTGACATTATCTCGAAAGTATCCTATAAATCTTATCAAACCTACGTGGTTCATGGTCAACCATAATTAACAAATAAGAATTGTATAATATAGTAAAATATTTCGATTTCTCCTTAATCTTGATGCACATAGTACTGTCCATCCAACCAAACATTATTATTTAGAATTATTTTAGTTGGACAATTCCAACTGTACAACGTACTCACAAAAGGGGATCCATGATTTTTTATTTAGAGCCTGTTTGGGAATGATTTTGAGAATTGATTTTTTGATCGTTAGGAAAAAAGCGGGGTCCACCTGTGAGAGAAGAAGTCAAATATGTCGGGTGGAATAGTGAAATAACGATCAAAAAATCAATTTTTTGGGTGAAAAAATCGGGCCCAAACAGGCCCTTAGCGTGGACCCCCTCCCTCATGCGTGTAGTTGTCAACTGAGATTGTTTCCCCTTAATCTTGACACGAAAAGTACTATCACCCGACCAAACGTTATTATTTATAATTATTTTAGTTGGACAATCCCAATTGTACAATACACTCATAGGAGGAGGATCCACAATTTTTTTATTTAACGTGGACTCCCCTCTCACATATGTGCTTGTCAATTTTAATTGTACACGTAGCATAACCGATTTATTTATCACTCCATTCTATTCAAACTTTGCATGATTCATTGTCTATAATTTAACAAACAATACTTTCCGTATGTAACACTAGACAAGATTGAGATATTTAAATTTCTCCTTAATCTCATCGAACGTTACTTTCCATACGTAGCACTAGACAAGATTGAACAATATAAAATTATAAAATATTTGGGTTTCTCCCTAATCTCGTCGAACATGTAGATGTACAACCCAACTGACCAAACATTATTATTCACAATAGAGGCAGACGTCTAAAAGATAATCGAAATTCTTAAAATCCCAAAACACTTATCATTCTCCAAGCCTTCGAAATAAATTACAATGAAGGTGAAGAGTGACGAACTCTTCTTTTCTCTCTATGAAAGTCGCCCACAAAAAAAGGAAAAAAAAATCCTACGAAGCCCAGAAAAGGGTTGTTTGCCCCTTTTCCCCCTTCAGTTTCTTATTTTCTCACCTCATTACATATACACAAAAGGACTCATTCGACGCAAAAACTGTGTAAAAATTGACCCTCTTTTTTCAGGCAAACTCTATATACACATTACTAAACAAATTGTTCCCTTCCACCTCAAAAATCTCCCCATTGTTTTGTTATTGATGTTACTCAACCAATCCCTCTTCGGATATGAGTTTCCTCTTGAATTTGAAGAATGTTTAAGCAAAAGCAGAAATGCTGCAATTCCCACGACAGTTGAAGCCTTCAACCCTCACTGTAGCAGGCTTGTGCCCAAAACTCACCCTCACACAACCACTACTCTTGCGGGCTGATGAAGGTGGAGGTGGTGATGCTTCAATTGCAGGCGATAAAGGATTAAAATTGCTGTTTCCAAACTGCTCATCTTGGATGACAGGGTTTGAGGCCCTGGAGGGTGGAGACCCCGAAAAAAATGGTGGCGATGAAGCCACTTGAAAATTGGATCGCGAGTAACCACCACTTCCCTGTTCATTACAAATGGAAACAAAATCAATTCCATGATAAATAAACAAAAAGCTAACAATCGTACAATAATTGTCGTGATGCAATAAAGAAACATCAACAAAAGACGCGGCCATAGAATTAAATGCTAAAAACTGCAATTAGGAATCCATCTACATATAACTTGTTTCTCTTCAAAGATCAAATTGTAGGCATAGATTTTTGCCGCAAACGCAACAGTTAAGTGTTGGGATTCGAATACTCTCCCTAAATTAGAGTTCAGTTACTTCCAAATCGAATTCAAATCACACACACACACACACACACACA